CTTCAGCTCAGGTCCTAATCCTAGGGTCCTGGGATCGAGCCCCACATTGGGCTCCCTGCTCCGCGGGAGGCCTGCTTCTCCCTCTCCCACTCCCCCTGCTTGTGTTCCCTCTCGCTGTCTCTCTCTCTGTCAAATAAATAAATAAAATCTTAAAAAAAAAAAAATTAAAAAAAAAAACAAAAACCCAAGTCAGAAGATCAACCGACTGAGCCCCCCAGGTGCCCCGAGGTCTCCCACCTTTATGTTGCATCCTCACCACACAGACATGGTGGGCATAAATAACCCCAAAAACATAGGTGGTAACACTGTGTACAAAAACAATTAGGAGTGTTTGGAGTATTTGTTGATTTTGTTTTTAATAGAGCTAACTGTAAGTTTACACAATTATTGATAAAGGCTGTTGAGCAACTGCCTAGCAAAATTCCCGAAAATCCGGCAGTTGACTCTTCAGAGTTAGGTCGGGCCTGTTCTGCACACCACAGGGAGGCAGAGTTCTAATCACATGTCTGCCTGGAGTGTGCCCTGTGGCCTCGGGTGAAGTCCGAGCTCCTGGACTGTGGCTCCCGGGGCCCTCCCAGGCTGACCCCTAGCTCGCCTCCCACTATTTCTGACTTCAGCGGTGACAGGCTCCCCCCTTGCTGCTGCCTCCTCTCCTCTCCGAACCATGCTTGACCTCCACGCTTTTGTCTACACTGGATGCCTTTCCTCCTGACCACTTCTCTTCCTGAGTACTCGGCTCAGTGTCCCCCAGCCCTGGTGGGTGGGGGGAGCTACGGGGGAGGCTGCTGGCACAGTCCTGCCAGGGTCTACATAGGGCTTGGTGGGCCTTGACCGCAGGCTGTCCCCTCACCACACTGGGAGCTGCCTGACCAAAGCCCACCTCACCCCCCCGGGTGTGCCCCTCTCAGAGGCCTGAAGTCAGTACAACAGGGGCTCTTCTTCACCCCAAAGGGGCTGCATGCTCTTACTCCCACTTTCGTCTGGGTCCTATCCTTTGCGGACTGACACAGCTGAGCAAGGTCTTTTTCTCCTTTTGCCCAGCGTGTGGGGTCAAGCTCATCCCCCTGTACTCTCTATGGGGGAGGTTAGGGGCAAAGCACCCCAGGCCAGAGAGACAAGTACCCAGTGAGGCAGGAGATGTTGGTGGAGAATGTTTATTGTATAAAAGAAGTAAGGGCCACCCCTTCCTGGGGCACACGAACAGGACCCATCCCCCCAACCTCCCCCATCAGGAAGCCCAGCCGGGGGCTGCCCTGGACCCGCCCCTGCAGCCCGAGGGAGACCCTGCTCCCTTCCAGCCTCCTGTGGGGTCCAGGTAAAGCTGGAGCTGTGCCCCCAGAAAAAGGAGACAGAGCAGACAGGACTCCACTGCCCCAGCCCTATCCCCAGGAGCGGTGGCCTCGTCCCCATGCTTCTACCCCCTCCCCACCCACACCACTCCCCCACAGCAGACTCAGGGACACCAAACATCTCAACACGACAGCAAACACGGGTCGGGCGGGGCTGCTCCTCTCGAAGCAGGCTCTAGAAGACTGTGCACTTCTTCCCCGGCTTTTTCACGGGCGGTGGGCAGAGCACAGCCCGGATGGCCTCGTCAAACACGGTCTTCAGGCCCCGCTGAGTGAGGGCTGAGCACTCCAGGTACTTGACAGAGCCTGGGGGCAGAGAGAGTAGGCTGCTGAGGAGGGGAGTCAGCAAGGGGGAGGACTGCAAGGGAGAGGGCAGTGAGGGGGGAGGGGGAGTGCCAGGAGGGGGTCAGCGCGGGCGGGGGCCCTCCAGAGCATGCCTCCCGCCCCCTCTTTCCTGCGCCCACCTGAAGGCCCCGCAGCGCCCACTCACCAATCTCGCGGGCCATGGCCAGGCCCTGGGGGTAAGTGATAGGTGCCAGCTTCTTGTCCCGAAGCCGTTCGATGGTGTCCTTGTCGTCACGGAGGTCCAGCTTGGTGCCCACCAGGAGGATGGGCGTGTGGGGGCAGTGGTGTCGCACCTCTGGGTACCACTGTGGGGATGGAGGCTCTGACCCCTACACCTGGGGGCTTCCCCCACAGCCATGCCCACAGCAGGCCATGGCTCCCAAGGGTCCCTTCATCTCAGTCCCTGGATCCACACTGAGCCCTTCCTGCTTCAGGAAGCGGCCAGTGGGCTTGGTGGGGAAACAACCAAGGACAAAAATACATACCTGGAAGTTTCAAGGGCCTTTTGGCCCCCCCCCTGCTCTGAGAGCCTCACTCACCACCCCCACCCCACCTCTGCCTCTTCATCACTCCCCCTGGGTCAACTTCAGATCCAAGCAAAACAGGGATCTCCTCTGCCTCTAAAGGACAAGTGACCTAAGGTCTTCAGGCAAGACACCCCTGCCCTGCCAGGGAAAGTCCTCTGGACACCCCCCTCTCCTACCGACAGGCCCTCCTGGCAGCACTGCCCTACCTTGGCTCGAACATTCTCAAAGGATGCTGGGCTCACCAGGGAGAAGCAGATCAGAAAGACATCCTTGGGAGAAAGGGTGAGGGGGCCCAGGTGGGAGTGGTCAAGGACCTCCAAATGGACCCTGTCCCTCCACACACACACACACACACACACACACACACACGAGGACCTCAAGGACCCCACCCAAGCCACCCAGCTCCTGGGGCCGGCCCTGCTGTCACCTACAGTTTGGGGATAGGAGAGCGGCCTCAGCCGGTCATAGTCCTCCTGCCCGGCAGTATCCCACAGCCCCAGGTTGACCGGCTTCCCGTCCACCATCACGTTGGCAGAGTAATTGTCGAAGCTGCCAGGCAGAGCACGACTGTCGGTCCAGGTCTTGGGCTCTCAGGCCCGCACAGAACCTGAGCTTTGGCAGCACCCTGGCCCCACCCCAGAAGCCCAGACCAGGGCCACCTGGGCCTGACCTCGACGCCCAGGGGAGCCCTGAGATGGGCTAGCTCCAGACCCGCCCACCCGGAGCGCTCACACGGTGGGGATGTACTCTCCCGGGAAGGCGTTGGTCGTGTAGCTGATCAGCAAGCAGGTCTTCCCCACGGCGCTGCGGACAGAGGGCGAGCCCACGTTGCTGCCCGGCCAAGCCTCAGCCCTCTGCCCAGCAAGGGCAGCCCCCTCCCATGGGACCACAGGCGGAGACAGGGGTCCCAGCCCAGCAGAGCTGCAGGCGGGCCTCCAGAGGGTAGGGCGAGGGCGAGCCGGCTCAGAGATCCCAGCACCCCGGCGAGGGTGGGACCCGCGCAGGGCTCAGTCCAGGTGAGAGGCCTGGCCCCACCCACCAGGAGGCCAGGCGGCGGCCCGGGCAGCATCAGGTGGGCCTGGGCTGCAGGCCTGCGCCCGGCGGCCAGCAGGGACCCCGCCCCGGCGCGCCCTCCCGCTACTGCCCGGCCCCAGGGCGCGCGCCGCACGGGCGTCAGGGCGTGAGGGCCGCCCCGCCCGGCCCCGAGCCGGTACCCCGCACCCCCGACCCGGAGCCGTGCGCTCAGCCCGGCCAGGGTCCCCGGGGCCGCCCCCGCCCAGCCCGCGGCCTCCGCGACGCGCACTCACCCGTCGCCGACCACCACGCACTTGATGGCCTGCATGGGCGCGGGCCGGGCGGGCGCGGCCGCGAGCCGAGCTGCGGAGAAATGCCCGGCGCCGCAGCGGCCGCGGACCCGAGCCGAGCGCCGAGCCGAGCGGCCGGAGACAGCCGAGCGCCGCCGAGCGCCGGGCGCGGAGACAGCCGAGCGCGGCCGGCGGGGGGCGCGGGGGGCGCGAGCCCGCCCCGAACCCGGCACTCGCCGTTCCGGGAGAACTCTGCTGAGGGGTGGGGACACGGCGACCCCCGGCCAGTCCCCAAGCCCCGGCGGGCTCCCCAGCGCCCCCGGGATCCAAGCCACGGGCCAGGGCGCAGCGCGGGCAGGTGACTCCCACCCCCCACCAGGCCGTGCGTGGGGTGGTCTCTGCTTGTAGCTTCTTCTAGGGAGGGCGCGCCCAGGGCCCACTGCCAGAGGGGATGAGACACCCCCCCCCCCCGCCCTGGTGCTGGCAGTCCCCAGTCCCTCCGCCGCCGGCGGTCGCCCACAGTAGCTCTGCAGTCACCACCGGTCGTCAGTAGGGAAGGGCCACCCAGCTGCACCCGGAGGGTCTTCCTTCCAGGGTTGGGACAGAGGGTCTCCCGGGTGGTTGGGAGCACAGATGACGTGGGAAAAGGTATCGGCCCCAAACGTATCACAAAGTGTAAAAGTTGTGTATTTCAAAAGACCCAGGAGGTCTGGGCCAGCGCGCAGCACTCCTGGTTACATTGTAAAAGGAGCATGTGTGGTTACATTGGAGGAGCTGATTGTGAGGAGGGGCTGGGGTGGAGCTGGGGACAGCTCTTTTGGATTTTCCTCCCCCATGGGGTTTTTTCCTCAGATGCATGTCAGGCTTATTACTTGGTACTGGGAGGAAGGCTCGGGAAGGGCCCAGGGGGTGCCCCCTCCGGTCCTGGTGGCCAGCAGCCCTGGGCTGGCCTAGCCTGGTAGCTGGTGCTGAGCAGCGGCGGTCCCCACTCACTGATCCGGCTGGGCCCCAATTTTCCAAGTCCCCAGCCGTAGACCCTGCCTCCGCTGCCAGACTGTCAGCCAGGCTGTGTCGGGAGACGCAGGGACAGGCAGCGATGGGGCACACATGTCTGGGAGATGCTGCCCTCCTGCCCCTCCCCGAGTCTCCTGCCTCCCTTCACTTCTGGGGGTTCACAGCCCTCAGAGGAGACCCCTGCACATAAGCCAGGACAGCATTTTGCAGGAAGCCGGCCCTCTGGGCCTCCTCCTCCCGGATCCGGGCGATCTCGGCCTCCTTGAGCCGAAGCTTCTCCCGGAGAGAGGCGTTCTCACTCTCCCTGTCCAGCAGCGCCTCCCGGTGGTCACCTGCGATCACTGCAGGACAAGAAACACGGGGTGGAGGCGGCCCCAGGCAATTGGAAGGTCGGCAGAGGGTCCTGGTGGGGCTTGTGCGGGGTCCCCGGAGGCCAAGCCCAGCTCTGCAGCCTACCCGCCCACGGGACGACCCAGTGAGAAAGGGTCCTGCTGAGATGGCACGGGGCTGGGGCTCCGCTCACCTTTCAGCCGACGCTCCAGGGCCGCCACCTTCTCTTTCAGGGCCTCCTGGGCCGTCAGTTCCGCCTGCAGGCGGCCATTCTGCTCGTGCAGCTCCACCCGCACCCTGGTCACCTCAGCCACCTTTTCTTGGTCCTTGTTGCTCAGTTCCTGCCAGACATGGGGGTGAGAGTGTGGCGGGGGGGAGGGGGCGGGGGGGGGGGGGAGGGCACCGTCCCAGCCACCTGCTGCAGCTCCTCCAGGCGCCGTCTCAGGCCTTCCACCTGCAGGCCCAGCTGGCTGGCCCGGGCCTGGGCCTCGGCCACTGTCTGCCTCTGCTGCAGGCAGGCGCTCTGAGCCTCGTCCCGAGCCTGGGCCTGCAGCCGCAGCTTCTCTTCCAGGTGAGCCAGATGCTGCCGCTGTGGGCACAGAAGGGCTGGTGAGCAGAGCGGGGAGGGCCCAAGCCCTGCCTGTTGCTTCCCTCATGTGGCCCTGAGCTCACGGGGAGTGGGAGGGATCCCCCCCCAGCTAGAGGGGAGCTTTCATTTGCAACGTGGAAACTGCCTCATAACTCAAGTTATTATGTGTGTATATCCCAAACAGGCTCAACTTGAACTAGCCTATAGGGAGTACCCAACTCCCAGGCTGACCATTCCGCCCTTTGGGTCCTGGCTTTGGCCACGCATACCCATCCCAGGGCTGGAGTCAGTGGCTCTTCGTAGGGGGTCAGATGTGGTCCTGGACCTGTCCTGCTCTGACTCCAATCTGCCCCTGCACCCTTGGGACTCCTGTCCCCCACCTCCCCCCTACAAAGCTTTTCAAAAGACAGCCTGGGGGGCGCCTGGGGGGCTTAGTCGTTAAGCGTCTGCCTTCGGCTCAGGTCATGATCCCGGGGTCGTGGGATCGGGCCCCGCATCGGGCTCCCTGCTCCGCGGGGGGCCTGCTTCTCCCTCTCCCACTCCCCCTGCTTGTGTTCCCTCTCTCACTGTGTCTCTCTCTGTCAAATAAATAAAATTTAAAAAAAAGACAGCCTGGGTCTGGCCTGTGCACTTCAGCCCCTCAGGCCTCGCTCCCTGGTGGCCATGGGCTCACCTCCTCCAGACGGACTTGGTTCTTGGCCTTAATGAGCTCCTCCTCAGCCTGGCCACGCTCACTGAGAGCCGCCGCCTTCACTCGGCTCAGCTCCTGCACCACAGACAGTGACCCACTGGGCCTGTTCTCCTGTCCTGGCCAGGGGCTCCTCTGGCCCCACCCAGCTGCTAGGCGAGGGGGTATACCCCTGCACTAGCCTCCTGAGGGCTCTGGTCACTAGGCAGAGTTGCCACAGCCAAGGGATCCCGTGTCCCACCTCATTAGGTCCCTCTGGCCTCACAGGGATATTGACGGGTGGGTCCTGCTGAGATTCTGAGACCACAGAAGGGGTGCCCCAGGGAAGGGCAGAGACCTGCACCCAACCAGCGCATGCTCACCTCCTCCAGGGACAGCCGCGAGGCCTCCAGCCTCTGTACCCTCTCCTGCATGGCCCTCTCGCTCTCTTCCAGGTGACGAGTCATGTGCTCCACCTGCCCAGGTGAGGGGCAGGAAGAGGGCTGGAAGACTAGCTCCCCAGCTTACATCCCCCCATGGAATCCTCACCCCGTGGCGGCAAATCCTGGGGACACGTCCTTCCCAGAAGGGGCTGCCCCTCATGGCTTTGCAGGAAGCAAGGCTTCGCAGTGCCACACTCAGGTGGCAGCCCGTGCTAGGGTCCTTTCTAGAGGCTGGTCGGGAGTTTCTGGGTCTGGCATCTGCCGGGGCTGGCAAAGAACTCCCACCCAGCATCCCAAGGTTGTCAGGGGGAGCACAGCCAGGGGTGTGCGTGGGGGACAGCCTGCCGCCCTGGGCGGGTGGTAGGGACGGGAGGCCGGATGGTGTAACTAACAGGCACCTCCTTGGCTCGCAGCTGCTCCAAGTCCTCCAAGCTCTGTCGGGACCTTTTCTTCTCCAGTTCCAGACGCTCTGGAAGCCCAGGGGGGAAGAGCATGGGTGGGACTCCCTGAGGGGCCCTCACTCCCTGTCCTCCCCTCTCTGGGCCCCTCAGCCGCGGCCTGCGTGTACCCACCCTCGGCCTGGTTGGCCCGCATCTTCAGCTCCGCCGTTGTGTTGCTCAGCTCCTGCCTGGCCAGGAACAGCTGCTCCTGCTGAGCTCTCACCTTCCGCTCCAACTCGTCCACCTGGGAAGCCAGCACCATGGGCGGGAAGCTTGGGCCCTGGCCCCCTGCCCTTGGCCCCTGCCCCAGTCTCCCCGGGGACCTGGCCCCCTACCCCTCACCTGGTTTTGCAGAAGCAGGTTCTTCTCGTTGGCAGCAGATAAGTCTCTGAGGAGCTTAAACTCCCGCTCTGCAGCCTCCTGCGGGTGAGACAGGGCACCACCGGTCACCCCTGCCAAACACTACCCGCCCCCCCTGCCCGCCCTGCTCACCTGCTGCTCCATCCTGTGCTCCTTTGCCTGCCTCTGCGCCAAGTTTCGCTGTTCCTGCTCCGCGGTAGCCAAGAGCTCCCCCAGGCCCTGGGCCTTTTGCTCCGACAGGGCCAGGGCGGCCTCGGCCATCTGCAGCCTGTAAGGAGGGAAAAGCCAGCCCCGCCCCGGCTTCACCTTGAGCCTTGCAAAGGCACTGCAGTTCTCATTCTTGCCAACCACTAGTCACCTCAGCTAGAGCTCACCTCCTCCAAGAAGTCTTCTGGGATTAACCACCCCGCTGTCTCCGCCCTCTACTTTGTACACTGGGGACTAGGGTTCTTGTCTGTATCACTCTTTTCTGCCCCTGGCACATCCCTAAAATGTTCCAAAGCCACCCCTCCACCACTCTCCTACCCTCTGCCCCACTTACTTGGCCTTGAGGGCATTGATGATGGAATGTCTCTCATTCAGGGCTTCCTGAAGCTGCCCCACACATGCTGCCGATGCCCTATAAGTGGAAAAGCATGTCTGGGAACCCTAAAGCTCAGAGCACTCCCAGGCCCCCTTGGCTCTGGTAGCAGCTACTGCTCCCTCATGCTTCTACAACTTTCCAGGTGTGGCCAGGGAAGTTCTCAGTGCTGCCCCAAGCCCCCCAGCCAGTGTCCTTGGTAAGCACATGCTACCAGCTCATCGGTGGGCAGGTGACAAGGCTCAGGGCCAGTCACCCCATAAGGCCAGAGCCAGGACCCAAACCTCAGGCACCCCACCTGAGCTGTAGCTCTGCGGCCCTGGGGCCACACTCACCTGCTGCTCCTGGCCATCTCTTTTCGCTGCTTATCAATCGTCTCCATCAAGTCCAGAAACTGGGGACAGAGCCAACCAGAGCCCCGTCAGGGCCCGGAGCCTGCCTACTGCCCCTGGTTAAGCAGGAAGGAGGGCAGATGCCCACCGAAGCAGAACAGAAAAGCATCTGCCTCATCCGAGAGGGGGATGGGGCTCCCACACAGCGAGGCCCACTGCCCGCCCACCCGGCCAGAGGTCAGACCAAAAGGCTGCCTCTCAGGCCTGAGTGTTGGCCACTCAGAGAAGCTCTAGGGTCCAGGGGAAGGGAAGATGACCATGACATGGGGACCAAGGTGGGCCCTTTGTCCCTGCAGCTGGAGTGAGGCTCTGCGGTCGGAGGCAGTGCTGTCCTCACCTGCCTGGATTTCTCTTCCTGGAGGTGTTTTACCTCCTTGCTGAGCACATGGGTGCGGGCCTGGTTCTCTCGGGAAGTGGTCTGCCGCTCCTGGTTGTGGTCCATTGCTTGCTCTACGGGAAAGAGTCCAGTTATCCACCAAGGGGGCTGCCCAGCCCTCAGAGTGGCCAAGTTAGCCCAGCCCTGCGCCCAGAAGCCAGTCATCAAAGAACACTGTTGGCAGTCTCACCCCGCAAATCAGAGCACGCTAGGAGGTGAAGGGCTTGAGCAGGGGTAGGGATGGGGGTAACGGTGGGGCCGGGAACCCTGGCCGCACCTGTGCAGGGCGGCCCGCACATGGGAAGGGGCAGGGGAGAATGCTCAGCTGCCAGAGGTGGATGTTATCTTGGGGCATTTAGGCTCCATCCCAAAGATCAGAGTCCCCTATATGACTTTTAAGAATTGAATGTCATGCTCAACTCCTGTGTTCTGGAGAGATTCAGGCAGCATTTGGAGAAGAGCCAGCCAAAAGCTGGGAGACTAGGAAAAGTTAGGGATGACGACACAGGCGGGGCAGGCCCAGCAGGAGGCAGTAGCCCTGTGCAGGATTCCAGCCTAAGTTCAGGCCCTGGGGTGGCTGGTGCTACTGGAAGGACAAGTAGCTGTGCGGAGTGGCAGAGTGTTCTACTGGGCTTGGGGCTGAGTTGTCGGGGTCACTAATGGGAGGGGACCATGGAGCCCAGGTGGCCCCACACCCACGAACTCTGGGGTGCCGGGGCAGATGCCAAGAAGCCCCTTCCCAGCTGTGGCTGGGCCACCAAGGCATGAGTGTGGCCCTCAGGGCAAGGCCCCAAGCCACAGCGCCTCCGTTTCTTCATCTGTGCAAGAGGTGAACCCCCCACGTCGCAGGCCTGGGAAGGGAGCGTGCACATTGAGGAGAGCTCAGGGCAGCAGAGAGCAGAGCTCCGCAAGCTCACCGCCACCATATCCCTCCCCGACATCTTCTCCCTCTTCTTCCTGTTTCTGATTTAGGCTACCTCACGATGCCTGTACACATCCCCGTCCTGAGCCTCGAGCCGCCCCTCCCGCGGTGGCTGGCCCTGTCAGAGGGAATCAGCTTTATGCACAGCTCAAAACAGCACGAGCCATCAGCAGCCCTGAGTGCCCATACCCACAGCTCTGAGGATGTCGCCTGGGACGTTATTCCCAGCCAGCTCCAGCCTCCACAGGGTTCTGTTGCGGGGGAGAGAGTTCACCAGGGCCCGGCCCCCCAGGAGGCCGATGCTATTCCAGCGCAGGTCTGGAAGGAAACCTGTTGTCACCAGATGGAATGCACCTGGACAGAGCTGGTCCGGCCCGGGATGCTTTCTTTGGGGAAGGGTACTCCCTGTGATCACCAACAGAGCAGGGGCCCCGCTCACCGGGCCCTCCCCACGACACCTTCCCACCCCCTTGCTTCCAGAAGAGGAAAAAAGCAGCAGGAAGGCTGAGGGAGCAGTGGCACAGAGCCCCAGACCGCAGACCTGGAGGAGAGGCCAGTGCGGGGAGGCCTCACCCAGCTGCTGGAGGCTGGCGTTGCATGTCAGGGCCAAGGCCAGCTCCTCCGCGCCCTTGTGGCTGATCTGGTTGTTGCGGAGGTCCAGCTGCCGAAGGGTGCCATTGCCCGCCAGGGCTCCGCAGAAGGTGGCGAAGGCATCTTCCCACGTGCCCAGGTTGTTCCACTCCAGGGTGAGGCTGTAGGAAAGGTGGACGTAAGGTGTGTGGCCCCAAGGAACACCCTGCTGCCATAGGGGCCAGAGGAGAGGTGCAGGCTTCAGGACCTTGGCGGAGAGGCTACAGCCACGTGAGTAACTTATACTTGCCAACTCCCTACCAACAGATGGGAGACACAGATGACCAGCCAGGAGACGATGCGCTCGGGCTGCAGAATGTACCCTCTGAGCCAACCCTGAACCACTCACGGGGGTGGGAGGGGTGCTAGGGGCCAGGACCACACTTACCTCTGAATGGACTTGTTCTGCCGGAGGAGTTGTCCCAGAGCCTCAGCACCTGCAGCTTGAAGGTTATTGCCCTAAGTCAGGAAGAGGCAGGCTGGTTAATTCCCCATCGTTACAGGATGAGCTCCAAATGCCACATCCACACCCCACAGGGCCCTGGTCAGGCAATGGATGAGGCCAGGTGGCCTGCTCTCAGAAGGTGCAGCTCCTTTCAGATATTGCTTTCCCTGACCGTAGTGGGCCTCCTGGTGCAGGTTCATTGTCTGCTCATGTGAACACTTTGGAACTCACATTCCTGACCTCCAATCACCACCCACCCACCCCATCAGAAATGGGTGTGGAAACCTATGTGCCAAGAGTACTTATAGACACTGTCAATGGCCACCATTCAGATTTTCAGGCTGACAGGACGCTCAAATCTTCCTCCCACCGCCCCCCCCCCCACTCCCGGTCTCAAATAGCATGCCCGAGTGCAGACCTGCTCACCTTTAGATCCAGAAACCGCACGACGGTGTGGGCACACAGCCCCTGAAGCAGCAGTGTAGCTCCTGTAGGGAGGTAGGGCCCTCACTCTGTGCCCCTGAGCTCCTCCCTGTGGACTCCAGCTTGGAGCAGCTCCCCAGACACAGGGCAGAGATGACTGTCCCAGCGGCCCCCAGTGGTCAGGATTCATGCCAGAAATGAGTTGCCCTGCTCACTGCCAGGTTTGAAACATCTGGGGCGCCTGGGTGGCTCAGTCGTTGGGTGTCTGCCTTTGGCTCAGGTCATGATCATACAGTCCTGGGATCAAGCCCCGCCTCGGGCTCCCTGCTCCACGGGAAGCCTGCTACTCCCTCCCTGACTCCCCCTGCTTGTGTTCCCTCTCTTGCTGTGTCTCTCTCTGTCATAAATAAAATCCTTTAAAAAAAAAAAAAAACCTGTAATCTCTGCTAGGCACAGAGCCAGGCTGCTGACCTTATGCTCACCAGCACACTGGATCTCTCCTAAGTCAGGGGAAGGTAAGGTTTCTCTGTTACAAAGAGAAACTGCCCTCTGCTGCCAGGGACGCTGCTGCTTTAACGACATATAGTACAGAAGCACAGAAACCTCACAAAGATGAGGTCTGGTGGGATGGAAGAGCTCTCTGCCAGAGGCTGCCAAGGAATGAGGGCCATGTGCAGCAAACCAGGGCAAAGAGAGCAAGGCCAGGCTGCCCGTGGTCAAAGGGCTTGATCCCAATCCCAGCTCTGAAGTTGCGAGGGGTGCCCTGGCCCCTGCCCATGCTCGGGTGCCCACCTTCCTCGCTGAGCATGCAGTCACTCAGGATGAGCTCCGTCAGCAGTACCTCCTTCTGCAGCAGCTTGCCCAAGGCCCTGCAGGTGTCCACGGTCAGGCTCTGGGTGGCCAGGTCCAGCCGGCCCCGTGGCAGCTCCTGCAGTTGCTGCAGGACAGTTTCCTGGGGCTCAGACCCACTTTCCTTGCACAGCCGGCTGTAGGAGTGCCGGAACTCCTCCATGGCACGCTCCTAGAGACGGACTTCACCATGAGGCAGCTGAAGCCGAGTGCAGGCTCTGGCTACCCGGCTCCTCTCCCTAAGGGCAAGAGGGCAGGGCCTCTCCCGTGGGGGCCTACGGCGCCGAGCAGCTCAGGGTGGAGCACAAGGACTCCTAAGTCCTCAGCAGCCGAGCAACGAGGGACAAACCGAATTGGTTCTCCAGGAGGGAGGCCCCATGAGGGCGGGAGAGTGGGCAGGGGACCGCTCCAGCAGGGAACCGGGGAGGGGGGTGTCCGCCAGGAGGCGGGGATGAGGGTCCCTAGCCGACTGTCCCTCCAGCGGCGGGGCGGGACCCCAGGCCCCCAGCCCGCGCGCGTCGGACTCTCACTCTCTAGCCGCGGGTCCGCGCAGCCGCCGCAAAGCCTCAGTATCCAGGAAGAGCAAGGTGTGCCGGGAAGGGCGGGCGCAAACTGCAACTCCCAAGAGACTTTGCGGGGGGAGGGCGTTGCTCGCCTCGGACCAATAGGGACGAAGGGGCGGGCACACGCTGCGGACCCACGGGGGCGGGGCAGGGCGGAGGCGGGGCTGCGGAAGGCGCGCTCCGGGCTGATTGGCTGGAGGAGCGGGGGCGGGGCCTCGGAGGGCGCGCTCAGGGCGGACTGGCTGGGGGGCTCCCGGGGCTCTGGAGGGCGCGCGTCCGGGCGGCTGTCATGGAAGGAACTGGCGTCGGCTTCCGGAAAGTGAGAGGGCCGGCGGGGCGGGGAACCGGGCGGCCGGGCGGCGGGACCGGGCGGCGGGCGCCGCGGCCCGGCCCCACGTGGGACTCACGTTCCCAGAATCGCGCCCTCTCCCCTCCGCGGGTGGGGTCCTGCACCCGAGTCGCTGGAGGCCGAGCAGGCAGCCGGGTTTGCGGCAAGAGGGAGGGGTGTGCAGAAACCGGGCGGGGGCGGGGGGTGCGCTCGGACAGGAGCCCGGGCCCCACCACCGCCCTAACGGCCCGGGCGCCCGGGACCCCACAGGACTTGCTCTCAACCAGGTAGCGCGGAGTGGCTCCACCCGGCTCGCTGGTGGCCACACTGCCTGCAGATTCTCAAGCTTCCCTTTGGCCCGTTGCCTCTCACGGGGCCCTGTGCTTCGCGTCCCACCTAAGCAGGGCTGAAACTGGCCCTCCTGGTCTGTGGTCCATCGTGGGGGCGGGGCGGGGTTGTGGCTCCGCACGTGTCCTCCTAGACACCAGTCAGGCACGCTTGCACGCCCTTGACATAGATTAACCCGTTAGGACATGGGTACAAGTCCTATCCTCACTTACCAGTGGAGAAACTGAGCCCATCCCACTTAGGAGCCTCACCATTTGCTCTGCCCCAGTGAGTGCGGTTCTGGGTGGCTGGGAAGGTATGGGGGCCCCTAAGGGCTTCCACCCCCTGCAGGCCGTGAGTGTCTTGAGTCTCACTTTGTGGGTCTGCCAAGGTTGGGAGGCACTGAGCCCTTGATATCAGTCCCAGGAAGGCCCGTGGGCCTTGCTCCACCAGTCCCGGTAGGAGTTACTGCCTTACAGAGAGGCGGGGATTCCCTGTGGCTTACTTTCTGCTTCAGCCTCCTCTTCTTTGTCACCCAGGAGGGTGGCTGGGCCCTGGCCCAGCAGCGGTTCATGACTGAAAAGGGAAAGCCACTGAGGCTAGGGTGACTTGGCAGAGTGGTCTTCACGAGAATCCCCCCATTATAATTGCTGGAGAAAGGAGCACCAGCAACCTGGACAGCCCTGAGTCCTCACCCCAAGGGCTCTGGCCAGAGCTGGGGTTACGATCATTACCCTTGAGCAGGCCTGCCCCAGGTGAGGGTGAGAGGGGCAGAGGGAAGCCGTAGGGGCTGCACGCAGTGAATGCGTCCCAGGTCCTGTCCTGCCCTCCCAAGTTTGAGTTACTCATCTGTTTAGGGGACCACCACCACATGCAGCTGGTGCTGACTCCTTTGGTGTCGGCAGCCCGGGTGCCGGAGGCCTGCTGGGGTAGCTCTTCCCGGTCCCAGGAGCAGGTGGGGCGGCGGAGCCTTGTGGGCCTTTTCCAGCACCTTCTTGGTAAGCAGCAAGAAGGACAGCAGGTGGCGCCAAGCCCTCACGGTCACTGCTGGGAGGGCAAGGCTGCGTCTGGAGTGACCCAGTGGCAAGTTCTTACCCGCCGGAGCCTGGGCCCCATGGCGTCCACTCCCTCCCTCTGCTCTTGGGCTTTGCCGAGCTGCACTGGGTGAGGCAGCAAAACCTCCAGAGACTAAAGCCGGAGGCGTGGCCGGTCCCCAGCCCCCCTTCCCTGCGCGACACCCCATTTCTGGGCTCCTCCTGCCTCCCGGCTGGCTCTGCTGACTCCTCATTCACAGCCTCTTCTGGCTGGACCCTGCTCTCTCTAACCTCCCTGGGTCCACCCCCCAAACCCTCATCATCCTTGGACCTTCTGGAAGGCTCTTCTCAGCTCCAGCCACCTACCCAGCCACTCTGCTTGGGTGCCTCATGCGTGTCCCTTACTTAGCATATGCCAAGCTGAGCTCCTGGCCCCCAAAATCTTTCCCCCACAGCCCCCAGCTCTGCAGAGTGGTGCCGTCCTTTAGGGGCTCAGGCCCCCCACCTTGAGGAGTCTCGGCTTGGACCCACCCTTATCTTGTCAGGAGGCCCTGTGGACATGCTCAGGCTCTGCCTCCCCTCCTCATGCATTCACCCTGACCGCCTATGGGCGCAGCGGCCCAGCCTCTGCCCAGTTGTGGGCTTCCCAAGTGGCCATCCCAGGCCCTGCATGTGGCTGACTCCAGAGAGGGACCTCAGAGGGAGCTGACCTGGCACCAAGAGCAGGGTCTGGCACAAGCAAGGCAGTGTAGGCGGTGTGGACACACCTGCCAAGGGGCCCACTGGAGGACAGCGCCTCAGCCCTGGGGGCAGGAGTGCAAGACTGCCCTGGAGCCCAGGAGGACCGGGTGGGCACCTGGGTTGCTCCCACCTGTCCACCACCTGTGTCTGACTTACGATCCTTCTGGAGGCATCGGGAGCTCCTCACTGCCCAGGCCCCCACCCTGGGAGGGCCTCTCCAGCATCCAGAACTCAGTGCCCAGGGGGTCTGTGGCAGGCCAGGGGCAGTGCCGGGCCACTGACCCCCTGCCCCTGCCCCCCAGGACCTGGTGAGCAAGCTGCTGCAGCTGCACTTCACGAACAGCAAGACCAAAGGTTCGTGGGCACCAGCTGGAGGGCAGGGCCAGAGCACTGCTGCTCTGGGGTGGGGGCCGAGGCCTCGGGGAGGGCAGGGAGCCACGTGTGTGAGGAGTCGTCAGGTCGGAAGTAGTGAGGAGAGCAGTGGGGTGACCGGGGCGGTAGGGGAGGGCAGGGCACGGGTCCTGTAACCCACTCCCCTCCACGTTGCAGTCGGCGGGGACGCACTGCGGCTCATGGCGGAGCTGCTGACCATCTTCGTTGTGGGTGAGCCCGAGGGCCCCCGCAGTGTCCTCTGCTGTCCCACCCGGCCAGCCCTGACGCTGTCCCCTTGTTTTCTCGGCGGGGGGACTCCCACACACCTCTTGCCTGTCTCCCCACCAGCCCGAAGCTCTGTGTCCCCTGGTGCGGTCTTCTGAACCGCCAGCCGGCAGGGGTGGGGGAGGCAGCCCCAACCCCCCCAGCCCTCTCCCCCTCACCGACCTCCTGTGTGGTGGCAGAAGCGGCTGTCCGCAGTGTCCGGCAGGCCCAGGCAGAGGACCTGGCTCTCGTGGACGTGGACCAGCTGGAGAAGGTGCTGCCTCAGCTGGTAGGTGGGCCCAGGGGGGCCTATTGTCCCATCCTGCCCTCCCAGGAGCAGGGCTGGTGCCCATGGGCTCTGAGTGCTCTTCTCCCCCGCAGCTCCTGGACTTCTAGGGGCCTCCACCCCCACTGCGGCCCGCTGTCCAAGCCAAGGCCAAGCCCCGCGCCCACATTTCTGTGGCCTCTGGCTTCAGACAAGGAAGGAGCTGCTGATGCCTGAGACAGACTCTCCTCCAGCCCCAGAGACTGAGCTAGGTCCTGGCAAATGCCCCACTCCTCCTGGTCTCTCTGTCCTGCTGCTGACCGCCTGGACACAGCAGATGGGGGAGGTCGCTGAGGGGACCTGGGGGAGGGCAGGTGCCTTCCCCTTTACACGCAGCGTTGTGAGAGAAGCGCAGGGTCCTGGGAAAGCAGGTGCCAAGGAGCAGCGGGGGCCCGCCCGCCCGAGCAGGTGGCCTGTGTACCTTCTACAGATAAGCAAAGCTGCCCACAGGCTGACACCCCAACATCAGAGCTTCTGTGCAACCTTTTAACCATCTGATACCCCTCAGAAGATGCTTCCCTGAGCTATGAGTTTATTCTCACAAGGCAACGTCAATAAACCAAAGCTGCCTCTCAGACCCGCCTCCCTGTTGCCATTAATCGCCCAAAGTCAAGTTGCTTCAAAGCCTCCTGGCCTGCCGGTCCACGCTGCTGGAAGGGAAGCACAGCTCGGGGGAGACCGCATGCGTGAGAGCCCTGCCGGGGGCCACAGCAGGGGCCACTGAAACCTGAGCCCTCACACATGAGGCCGCTCACTGGGAGCACAGAACGGTGCTCCTGCCACGAGCCCAGGAATGTCGCTGCGGGCAGGGCCTGCTGGTGGAGACCAGCTGCATGGGACCTGTCAGGAGCTTGGGGTGGTGTGGCTGCCCTTGGATATGCGGGGGCCTCGCCGCCCCCCAGCCCCGCCCTCCACCCTGCAGCACCCACCTCGCTTTAGCTCTGACACCTGCCCAGTGACTGCAATCAGGACACACAGAGCTGCAGAATGTCCCCTGGGGAGGGACACCAGCCGCCCCACCCACCGCGGGAATGGGGGGGGGGACCCTGAGGACCTCCAGGGGCAGCCTCGCCCACACCTGAGCAGGACATGGGCTGGGGGGCAGGACTGCCCTCCCGGATTTAGCCCCGCTGGCTGCTTCCTGCACCCCCCGCCACGCCAGCCCCCCAGCTCTGCTCCCCAGCCTCTCCTCGGGGAGCCCATGGCAGTGATCAGACCTGAAGGGAAGGCTGAGGCTGGCCGGAACCCACGCGCGCAGCCACTGAGAAGTGCGCTCAGGTCGGGGAGTGCGGGGCCAGGCTGCCCTCACCACGCATCCTCCAGTCCCCGTCCTGGTGCTAAGGCGGCCCTGCCTACACGCAGCCCTGCAAGCTAATGCCTGGGGCCTTTCTCGCACAGGTCCTCACGGGAGGGGTAACTCGGGTCAACTGGGTGAAATCAACGGCTCAGGGAGGACACCTGTGCCTTTGTTCACAGGCACGTGGCACCCCACCCAGGCCCACCCAGGTCCAGACCCACTGCAGGACCAATGGGCCCAGGGGACAGAGGGGGCCCTTTTCTGGAGAAAAGACGACAGGAGGATCTTGAGAGCAGCTCACACCTTTATTCCCGTTCAGGGTGGGGAAGGCTCCTGCGGCCGGCACACAGGGCACATCCGGGCTGGTGGCGCTCACCTCTTGCCGGCTGCAATGTGAACGCCAGGATGACCTCGGGGTCCCTGGGTCGGCAGCCCCCTCCCTCTCCGCTGCGCCTGCTACAGTACCTGGCAGCTTCAGCCACTTGGGCACCTTGCCCAGATCCCTCCTGACCGGCTGGGCCGTCCCGGGGCTGGGTTCAGGGAGCCCCACTGCCCCTGCCTCGGCCATTGGCTCCAATTCAAGGGGTGCAGGGTCAGGGGCTGACATCGGGGGTGGGGTTCCAGCAGTCCTGGACATGCACCTGCGGACAGAAAGCTGGGGTACAGCATGTCTGACGCACTAGGGCAGGGGCTCTCCCCTCCCCACTGCCCGCACTCACCTGGCCACCAGCACATCCGCCGCAGACGGGGAGACCGTGTGTTCCAGCAGCCGAGGCTCCAGGAAGAGGCCTGCGGGACACCGAGCCCACCCTCAGGCCATGGAGGGGGCCCCCCGCCCATTATTGCTCTACTGTGGGAGGGGACAGGGCCCAGGCAAGTGGCTGTCCTGGTAATAGGGTATCGGGCACAGATCTCCCTCCCAGACTGGAAAGAAGTCCCTACCCTGGGGCATATGATGAGCCAGGACACTGGGCCCAGTGCCGGCCAGCCATGATGGGCAAAGAGAGGGGCCCCCACCCACCTGTCAGTTCCTCGGCTCCAAAGTGCACAAGGGCCGCAGGGAAGAGATTTGCCTGTAGGGAGAACAGGGGGCAGCTCAGGGCACCAGGCGGGCATCATGGGCGGGCAGAGGCCATAGGAGAGGGACAGGTGGGCTGCACCCCACTTTTGTGGTGGCCTCTTGTGGGGCACTCACCGGGACCAGGGCTCCGCTGAGGAGGCTCACAGCCCCAGCCAGGTCTCTCCTGCAAGCGCAGTCCACTGCCCAGCACCCCCATGAGCTGCCCCCAGCCCAGCAATACCAGTCTGCCCTCTGGCACCAACCCCAGTGCAAGCCAGGCCGGCTAGGAGACCACAGCGGTCCTCCAGGAGCCCACCCCAAGCACCAAATGAAGAGGAAGTTCTTGTGATGTGTGCAAGCTGGGGGAACCCGGCCTGGAAGCCCCTACCCTCAGCAAAGACTTCAAGAGGCCGACAGGCCAGAGGAGATAAAGGTGGACAGAGAGAACGCATGGAGGGGACGGGGAGGTACGGAGAGGAAAACGGGCAGCACAGATCGGAGAACAGAGAGCGCAGGGGTCTGCGGCCACGGCCAGATGGGCCACCTTCAGGCTCAGGGGAAGCGCCCAGACCTGTGGAGAGCGGGGACCCTCGGCTGGCCCAGGCCCAGGTACGGGGAGTAGGGGGGCTCCTGGAGCCAAGGGGCTTTGAGCGTCCTGGGCAGGGAGGTGCTACCCAGGTCAGCTACCTCTGAGAGTTCGCTACCCAAGACCCCCAAAGCCCACACTCGAGGTCCCTGACTGGGGAAAGAGTGGGAGCCAGGCAGTGAGAAGCCCCGCCCACAGGGAGGGTGCTGTTGGGGGGGCGGGCCCCCACACCCCAACCCAGGTGGGCTGGGAACTGCCTCTCCTAAGTCTCCTTCCCTGGGGGTAGTGGTGCAGGGTTCCTGCTCAGGTGTGTGTTAAGGATGACACGCAGGGAGCTGAACTCAAGGCTGCAAGCGGGGACCCCAGGGTCTCCCACGCTGCACCTGAGGACTAGGGCTGCAAGCCCTAAAGCTGGCCAGAGGGTCCTTGTCCTCCGCCCTCAGTGGAAGGGGCAGCCACCAGGTGAGCCCTTCCCCTCCGCTCTCTTGGAGGAAGCTTCAAAGGCCAAGCCTAGGATCCCGAAGAACAAAGCTGAGGACAGGCCAGATCTGAAAACCCCACACCCTATCCCGACACTGGCATCAAAGCCTCAACTCAGAGGCACTGCCTGCACCAGGGCCCTGGAGGCACCAGGAGCCAGGGAGCAGGAAGGGGGCACAGAGACCACAGTGTCCAACCCTCCCCAGGAGCCTCAGCTTGGTTGACCCTCTGGGCACCATGGCCATTTTCAGTGAGCACGAGAATGTTCCACCTGGCAGGGCAGCCTGGGGGCTGCAGGGCTTCAAGCCTCGAAGGACCTCTCTCACCAGCCGGGAGTCCTCCAGGGCCCTTGGGGCACCTCCTCGTGACCCCAGCCTCCCACCAGAACTACCCCACTTGCCTGCTGGCATCTCTGGGATTCCAACCAAACAAGGGGTGAGCAGACAGCACAGCAGGCCGCCATGACCGCCAGGATGGAGACCCTGCCCCTCTGCTCAGGCAGAGAAGGTCTATGCAGATCATGGCCGTCTTCAGGACCGGCTAAAGCTGACCCCTGGACCCTACGTGAGGCCGAGGGCAGAGGGGTCCCCGGGGCTCAGGACAGCACCAGCACTGAAGGAAGCAGATCTGATGGGCACCGGGGGCGCCTGCGCCCACCAACGGCACCCCCACCTCTTCCCACACCCTTGTCCACAGCCCCACCCTCCCCCGCACCCCTCTCCTGGCCCAGTGGCCAAAAGGGGCAGCTGGGCCGCCGTCCCTCACACCTACCACAAGCTGTCACTCTCTGGAGCTCAGGACTGGCCCCCCGGCAGCCTCCCGGGCAGCCAGCAGCCAGAGCACAGCCCTGCCAGGGACATGAAAGCCGGCGGCTTCCGCGCCCACGCCTGCTCACCCACACAAGGGAGGAAGACTTCCTTCCCCGAGCCCTGCCAGCTCTCTGATCGCGGGCGGGCGGGGACACCACCCCGCGCAGAGGCCCCCACAGCTCCAGGCAGAGCTGATGGATGAAAGGAGACAGCTGCTGGTAACAGGGGGCAGAGTGTCACCAGGAATCAGGCTGCTCGAGCAGGAGGACAGGCAGCACCCCAGGGCTCCCAACTGGGGTGGGAGGGGCGGCGGGACTGGGCGCTGGTCCCCCTCCATCCCGAAGCATCTCCTAAATTCAGTGTTTATCAACAGGCTGGCCAGCGAGGCAGAGTGGGAAGGAGGCACGGCGGGATGAAGGAAGAGGCCTAGCGCCTCTGGGGCTCCTGGGGGCTGAGAAGGGGGAGCTTGTGGGGGGGGGCGCAGCACCCTGCTGCCGCCCACCCTGACTCCTTTCCTTGGTAAGCTTCCAGCCTCTGTGGGATCTTGCCCCATGTCCCCCACAACGGTGGCAGCCCCAGGCAGGAGGCAGACCCCCTTGCCCCAGCTCAGACCTCTGCAGGGCCTGCCAGCCATTTAACAAGGCCCGGTTTCTGGTACTAATTAAAATATCTGAGAAGACTTTGAAGAGGAAACCATTAGGCCAGAGGGCTGGGGAGGCCCCAGGCTACCCTCCCAGGGCCAAAGGGACAGGACATTCCTCCTGGCTCTGGAAGGCAGCCCCGGGCAGGACAGGGCACCACACCAAATCCACGCTCCTCACCTCACCTTCAGGAGCTCTGGGGGCCATAGGGAGGGTCGGGCGGAAGCAGACACCAGCTACTGGGGAGGGCACAGCGCCCATTCCTGGCAGAGGCCTCGGGGTCCAGGGGAAAAGGCAGCAGCCCCTGCAGCC